GGGAGGCAGGCTGAGGGCCGTGGATGGGTCTGTATTAAGTATTCAGCATCTGAATTCTTAATACATTCTTCAGGAGCAACATCAGAAAACAGAAAATAGCAGAGCAGTGCTTTTGAAACTCGGTCAAAATTATCTGAACACTATGAGAGTGGTGATTTTGTGACATGCAAAGCCCCTAAAGTCTTTACCTTCTTTTCACTCTTCCTCAAGAAGCTACTGGAGGATATGTTCCAGCAAATAATAAAGATGACAGGGACGCTGGGGAGCAGAGATCATATTCAGGAGAGTCCAGAAGGATTCCTAGGAAGGTGGTGGATGGAAATCTGGAAGTATAGGATACCAGGAGAGTGATCAGTTTTGATTAGCATAGGAGAAGAGAGGGCTGTGAGCTGGTTAATAGCTAAGAATAAAGCAAGAATACGTAATTTATTTATTTTTTTACCATGTTGTAAGGAGTTTAATGGCAGTGCAAGAGACTTTACAGATGATTTTGTGATGGGCCTGTAGGAAACTGTAGTCAGGTGAACAAAGAAAAAATGAGGCAACAAGTAACTCCTCAAAAAACTAAAAAGAAAGTTATTTGTATATGGACAGATTTTGAATGTGGTTTTCATTTAACCAGAAATTTCCACATGAAAAGCTAAAAAGCATTGAAAGTAGATTATACCTTGGAATTTAGAATTGGGAGTGAGCAGTGGAACAGCTTGTTTTTGACATAAGCTTTATATTCTTTTTGACTTTTTAAAGTACTTAGCACTTAGATTTTAAAAAAAATTTTAACAAATAAAATGGAAAAAGCTACTTGTAAGAGCTTTTGAAATTAACCTCTTAGTAGCATTTAGTTAGATGAGGTCACAATTCCCCACCAGGCTTGAGAGCCTGGCCCTCTGCACTTGGGGTGGCAGTGAGCCAGCCCTGAGACCCATTTACTTCTCTCTGCCTTTGTTCCCAACTGCCTTTTCTTCCCTGGAGATGTAGCAGAAATTCAAATCTTGAGGCTGGCTTGAGCTGGATGCTGGCTTGCATCTGGACTCGCAGCTGTGGCAGCCAGTCACTTCTTCCAGAATCAGTGTGGCAACATCAGGACTCTGCATGATGTGTTTTTAGCTCGTCTGGCTCTTTCTGACAGCAGCCACCACCACATCAGCAGAGACGGGTTTGCATTCACTTTTTAAACGAGAGGAAAAAGCCAGAGCAACCTATGACTTGCCTTCTGGTGTGATACCATGGAGCTAAACAGTATCTTTTCTTCAACAGCATTCCTAAAAACTAAACGCCTGTGCCCTGCAGCACAGGGTGTAAGGAAGTGGCAGCAGATACATCTCTGAGGCTGTTGCGGGTGGGTCTGTGGTCATGTAGCTTTGTTTAGAGTAATGGCCTAGAATAGGTTTTAATCATGCATCCCTCCCATCATTAAAAACACCAGTCGTGTACTTCTGATGGAGGTATATCCACTCATACACTGTTGTGCCGACTACATTCTAAAGCATGCAAAAATAGCTGTGTTAAAAGAGTGAGCTATACATATAAATAAAGTTCTGAAGTTTTTGTTTTTGTTTTTCTCTGTACTCTGGTTGACTGTTTTGTTCACTTACAGAGACAGCTGATATAAAGGCATACCATCTCTTTCTTCCTTCCCCTCCTCTTGATCTTTTCATCTCACCTCCTCCAGAGCCCTTCCAAATGGAATAGTCCTCTGACTGTTCACTCCATTCCCCAGAGCCCTTCCAAATGGAATAGTCCTCTGACTGTTCACTGCTTATGTGATCTTTCAAAACTTTTTTCCCACTTTAGACACCAGCTATTGACTTCCAAAAAATATCCAGTGCAAACTCCATGCCATGATGGTTTCTAGTACAGACCGCCTCTTTCCACCTTTCCGCATACTTTGGCAAGTCAGGAGACTGAGACTCATTGGGGCATGTGGCTTGTACCAGGGCAACTGAGTCAGGAGCAGAAGCCCCTGCCCTTGAGTCATTTCTGTCCTCTTTCTAGGACTCCACACTGGGACTAAAACGTCTCAGAGATCCCCTTTGACCCATCTTGACTACTTTGTTATCTGAAAGTTATAAAATTTGTGTATAAGATCTCTGCCTCTTCTGGCCTGTCATGTTACCCTGATTGGCATGAAACTTGAATGCTTTGAAGCTAAGGGGGAATTTTAAGGGTGTAGATGCTGGTTGCCATTCTTCTGTTTTTCTTTTGTCCCACTTAATTTTCCTCCATGTAGGAAGCTCTCTGCCTACCTTTGTTGTGACTGGGTTCTTTGCATCCAGAGATGGGACCCTTCTTACCTGGCCTCCCTGGTGTTTGCCAAACCCAAGAGTGTTCTAGCAGCTCATTTCTCTCTTATAAACCTAAGCTTCTCGATTGTTGCCCACTTCACCCATGATTGTTCCTGAGAATTAAGCAGCGCTGAGTCTCTCAGTAAAAATGGTTGGGTGTGTGACACGACACTCGGTCCTCAGGACCGATGCTTCCAGAAGGCTTCCATGTTCACTTCTTCAAGGAAAACGCTCATATGGTTAAGCTTTAGAGTTGAGTGAATGAGAGTCGTCTTTGCATTACAGCTTTAGGTTTATCAGAAGGCCTTTTGTTTTATCTTATTTTTAACGTACTTTTACTCAACAAAATAGTTCAAAAGATGTTTTTCTTTGGAAAGTCTGGCTAGCTAGGAATATCTAAAGGAATGAAGTAATTTCTGTTTAAAGCAAAGAAACCTATGTTTCCCAGTTGACAAATTCTAATGATTTATATATTTTTTTGCCAGTATCAGAAAAATGGCAGTGTTTTCAGTTACTATACCTTTATTGTAAGTGATGCGCTGGTGAAAACCAGTCTGATTTTCTGCTCCTGTGTAGAAAAAGCAATAGGTATAAAATAAACCATCTTTGCTTCACTTGCTTTGAAGAGGAAAGGCTGTAGGAACACTGCTTGGCTGTAAATCTCAGATTTCTTACTTCCGGTTTCTATGTCGTTCTTGGAGTCCTGCCTCAGGGCAAGTGGTTTTGTTTGTTTTGTGTTCTAGTGTCAAGTTCTTATAAAGGAAACCCCCTCCAAGGGTGCAGGGCAGTGCTGGCCTGGCCTGTGCGCTCTCCCTCCTGGCCCTGAGCACGAACCACACAGAAAGTGGCGTTGGTGCAGAAAGCCCAGCTTTTGGGCCTTTGGCACATAAGTGGTTGTAGTCCGTTGTCTTCCCTAGATATGGTTTTGAGCAGACTCTAGTGTCTTATTTTTCTCTTTTTCTAAGACTTAAAACAAAAGCGTAATGTCATTAGGCTAGTAAGTGACAGGCAGCAAGTGCATTGTTTAGGGGCAGTGCAGTCGTCAGTTTAACAAAGATGCCGCAGCCACTGAAGTTGTAGATTCTACACACCGGGACTGAAGTCAGTTCTTTTAAGGACCCCACCTTCACCCATGGGAAAGTGGCGAGTTTTGTGCATTGAATTCTAAAAGCGGACAATGGGGAAAAACACAAAACAAAATGTGTGGCATATGAGAGGCGGTGGGGGCAAAAACTGACTTGGAACTCCACGGAGAAAACGTTATGTAGTTGGCACTCAGCTGGGAGACCAGGACCCAGACTGCCCTTTCTGTCCCGTTGTTCCTCATGTAGGCCATTGCTTTACAGTTCTCAGGAAATCATTTTTGAGTGTCTGCCTTCAGATCGAAGGCTAGTTGAGTTTCAAGGAAAAACCCAGAAGGGATACTTTGACTATAATAAATACTTAACTTTGTTTACTCACATGAACATGTGTGTCTAGTATCTCCACGCTTTACCCCAAACTTTGTTTGTTTATTGTTAATCTCAGAGCCACATTAAAGTTCGTGGTGATAATACCGGCTTCCTATATCTTGAGAAATTTGATGGCTCGATTATTCTCTAGTGCTGTGCTGTCCGGAACAGTAGCCACTAGCCACATTTGACTATTTAAATTAACTTTAATGAAATAAAATTAAAAACTCAGTTTCTCATTGTGCTAGTCACATTTCAGGTGTTGAATAGCAGCATGTGGCCACTGGCTACTGTAAAGAACATCATTTTCATCATCCAGAGAGAACTACTGGACAGTGCCCGTCTTGAAGCTGGCATTTTTTTCACATTCCTGAGAGTAATTGGTTAATTTTATACTCTACGCTGTGGAAATGCTTTATTGATGGACAGATGTGTGGAGCTGGGTGAAGCAAGCAGCCAGACAAGTGCCCGGTGTGTCACATTGCTTTATGCTGTGTGGTTGCATCTAACAGCCTGGTTGAGGGAGGGCTGTCAGACTGAGTCTGCTGATGCAGCAGCACCTTTTGGGATAGAGGATAGTGTCTGTTAATAGAATAGGCTTTAAGGCAGAGTGGCCATTCCAGCTCAGGCCTGGACAGCCGGTGACACTGGGCAAGCCCATTAACTTTTCTGAACCTGTTTCCTCATCATATCTACTTCCTAGGTTTCTTAGGAGAATTATATTAGGTAGAGTAGGTGGAATAAAGAATATCACATACTTAGTACAGTGTGAGACACATTGTCAGCATGTGCTCAATGGTTGTTTTTTATATTCATACTAAAAATAATGGCCTTATTCATGTTGATGTCAGTTCCTCTTTTCCTGATATGTGCCACTTTTTTTCTTTTTAAAAATTATTTCTCTCCTTTCTTTGCCCTATTTCTATTATCCTTTATTCCTTTCTCTTCTTTTTCTTCTTACTTAAGGGCCTTGGATAACTGTGTTAGTGATACTCAAGGATTAAGAATTCCCTGTCACCTAATTGCACAGTACAGTGAAGAATAACGGGGAATAATCAGTATAAAAATGAGACCAAACCCTATAAGGATTCAAAGAAACACAGCACCTTTGACCAGCATTTGCGAGGAAGCCGGTACACGTGGGCTCTGGGGCCATAGAGACGGGCCCATGACACCCCCTCATTTGCATCACCCTGTGCCGGGTCAGCAGCCTGTCCTGAGAGCCACACCAGATGCCTGCTGACTGTCTCTCTGTACTTACCAGCAACAAAGGAGAGAGCGCGAAGCTAGAAGGCAGCAGGAACGTGAACAGCGAAGGAGGGAACAAGAAGAAAAGAGGCGTCTAGAGGAACTGGAGAGAAGGCGGAAAGAGGAAGAGGAAAGGAGACGGGCCGAAGAAGAGAAGAGAAGAGTGGAGCGAGAACAGGTCAGTTCACAAAGCCTGCTGCGGCCACGAGTGCGTGTGGTCCGTGGCTTTGTGGATTCGGGGTATTTGGGGCAAAAAGTACACACACATGTGCATTACACACACACATTCAGGACATTAGGGGTTTAAAAATACTGAAGAGCAGTTGGAATTACCCTAGTCAGTTGAGTCTCTTGTCTTTAAAAAAGTCATAAATTATTATGCATTTTATACCTCTTGAAACCAGCTTAGTGGTCTCCAATAGTATGATGGCGAAAGATTGCTGAATACAGCTTCTTGGGTTTGTCCTAAATGCTTCAAACTGCACATATCTGAATGATAATGAACCTTTTTAAAAAATGAAGTAAAAAACCTGCTGCAAGAAATTTCATATGAGAAATGTTTGAAGTAGCCACTGGCTAACTGATTACTTAATATACGTTTGCATATAATTTGGCACATACCTACGTAGCATTAGAAAAACTAAGAGTGTTGTATTTAACCAAAAGATCAGGTTTTAGTAACAGTACAGCATCTTATTAATGCCAGATAACAGCTGTCTTTAGAAATCTGTTTCCTGAACCACCTGTGCAAACAAAAACCGATACACTTTCTGTTGTCTGTGTCTTCGTGTGGGTGCCATCCCAAGCCACACTGCCTTTTATGTCTTTATGGATCACTCTGTTATGAGCTTTGAGTAAAGAAAAAAAGATAGGAATGGGGACCGATTTGAATAATACTTGAAATACAAACTTAAAAACAATGATATTAACTTCCAAATTTGGTTATTTAGCCGCAAACCTTGATACTAATTACATACCTCGGGTTTTCTGAAACGGATCTGCGTGCTTACCTGTTTTTCCTAGGAATTTAAGTTCTGTTCTTTATCTGTTCTTTATCTGATGTTATTGGCTAGTTAACTATGTGGTGTTTTGTTTCGCTTTTTTCACATTCTCATTTATACTTGGGGACCGGAAAGAGAAAACATATTGTCTTTTAAAAATTAAATCACCTAGGGGTAGTTCTCACAATTTGATTGTGAGAGGATAGCATGAAAATAATATTTAATCTTTATTGTTTTAATGGCAGTCATTAGCTTTTGTGGATAGCAAGCATTCTTCCCCTCTTCCTTTAAAAAATAGCATTAAAAATCAGTTTTATTCTGTTTTCCTTATTCTTTTGCAAAATAATTATTCCCACACCAACAGTGCTATATGAAACTTGTCGTTTCTGCATAAACGTGTGTTTATGTACATGTGTAATTGTATTCTGTGTGTTCATTGACTAGATGTTAGGGCCTTGGTGATTTGGATAGATAAGAATTTTCTAGTTGTCGCTGTTTTTTGAAGGCAGAAAACAAATGAGTATACTAGCTTGATCTTTTAAGTTATGGTTTAATTCTCTCTGGTTCAAAGAACAAGTGACTTGGGAATCAGATTCCACTCCCAGTCATGGCTGGGGATGGCTACACACCACACTAGGGCAGTTCTGGGCATAGCATATGTTGTGGAGGGTCGGGCTCAAATGCATGGGGCTCAGAGCCCAGGTCGAATCGGGCTATGCTTGCCAGTGGCCTTGTGGATATGCTTTCCACCAGCTGGCTATTTTTTTCCTCATCTAAATTTTTCTAAGGAAATTTGTATGTTATAATATCTGTTATCCAGCATTTTCTCAACCAGGATTATTAGTTAACTAAAACTTCTATTCAGCCCAGATGTACGGTTATTTTTATCTTAAGGTGTGCACTTTGGTGTAAGTGAATGGTCAGCAGGAGATACTATAAAGAAATAATCTGAATTTCAGAAAAAAATTTGCCCCCTTATACCCCTCAGGCTACTCCCATCTAGAGTAGTTAGCTTTCTTCCCTAATGAAAAGGAAGGAAACTTCTGTCTATAAAACCTCCTTTCTTTTCAAAGTTATTATATGTCTGTCTCATATTCAAGCCTCATAAAAAGTGCTGAGAGTTGGGAGGAAATATTCATGATACTCATTTCTTAAAAGAGGAGACTGAGAAAATGGGAGGTTGGGGGCTTAGAGGTCATAAGTCAAGGTCTCTTAATTTCCTAGTCCATTGTATGCACACGCAGCTGCAAGGTTGGATTTTTCCTGTTTACGTGACATATTTTGGATGTGCTTACCTGTTTTCATTGTTTATCATTCTCTTCCCATTGGGAACGAGTCATGCTCATCCCCTTCTTTCTCTTCCTCTTACACACACACACACACACACACACACACACACACACACACCCCCACCCCCCGTTCATTGGTGAAAAGTCACCCGATCCTGGTATTCCCAGAATGTAGTCATTCTACGTACCTTCTGTCATCAGAGAAAACATAAACCATGTTTGTTTTACTCTAATATTAAACAAGTTTTGGTTTGAGGTCTTAAAAATTGGCAGCCTGTGCTTGCTCTAAATAATGATTGATGAGCAGACATTTATTGATGAGAACCCTCTGGTTTCTCACCTAATTAAACTCTTTACTTTCTCTGGAGTCTACTGTCCTGAGAGGGACAGCACAGTCCTTTAAAGCCCAGCATTTGTGTATGACTCTGTATCCTAACAGAACAACTTTCAAATACCTTCATGTATACCACTGAGTGCATGTCATCATTTATCAGACTCTTGATTTCTCAGCAGCCAATTCGAAGTCACTGAGAAAATCCTTAGCAGTAAATTTCATCAGCTATTCATCCCCATCCACTAGAGACGGCTGGGGCGGCTGGTTCTCGGTGCTCCCCGCAGGTGGTTCTGATGCTTTCCTTTTGGATGAATTGATTGCTGGGTGATTTCTGTGTGGCAGGAGTATATCAGGCGACAGCTAGAAGAGGAGCAGCGGCACTTGGAAGTCCTTCAGCAGCAGCTGCTCCAGGAGCAGGCCATGTTACTGGTAACGCTCGCATCCACCCTGTCCTCTAGTGTCAGGGCCCGGGTGCGCCCCCCTTCCTTGAGCTGGGCATGGCTGCAGCCATCATGAGACCACTCGGTCAGTGCCCTGGGCTGACAGAGTCCGGTGGAGACGTCCTCTATGGTCCTACCATGTGGGGCACATTTCCAGGTGGCATTTATTTATTTATTTATTTCCCGTTTATAACTGTTCTCATTTGGTAGATAGACAAGGTTTTGAACACAAGTTGGCATTCCATGAACAAACCAGAATGCCAGGCGCTGAAGGTTCAAAACACTTGCTGTGGGATTTTTACCTAGTTAACTCTTAAGTGCCTTTTGAAACCACCGAAACTGACATTTAATTGAATTCTCTCTCACTCTGTCCAGAGATATTATGGTTAGCAACAAGCTGTCAGATTTTTGCACAGGTAATATGCTATTTAAAACCCCAGCCATTTTGTTTTGTTATAAAACAAGGGGGAGGGGAAAAAAGCATGGTCTTTAAAAAAAGCTGAGAAAGGATGAACCTGGAGACAAGGCGGGCGTCCTGGTGTCCCGTAGCCTCAGTGTTCTCTTCCTCTCCAAGGAGTGCCGATGGCGGGAGATGGAGGAGCACCGGCAGGCAGAGAGGCTCCAGAGGCAGTTGCAACAAGAACAAGCCTATCTCCTGTCTCTACAGCATGACCACAGGAGGCCGCACCCGCAGCACCCGCAGCCGCCGCCGGAAAGGAGCAAGCCCGGCTTCCACGCTGCAGACCCCAAGCCCCACTACGAGCCCGCCGACCGAGCTCGTGAGGTACCGCTTCCTGTGTCACTTAGGCAGCAAGCCCATGTCCACGCCTGCCTCTTAGGATGTGAATGCTAGAATGGGGTGCAGACATCAGCTGGTGATTTCATCCACCCTCTTGATTTTCTAGCTGAGAAATTGGGGTTCAGAGCAGGGAGGAGACTTGCCCAGTCTCTCATGCAGTTAAGTGTTTTTTCCAGAGAGGACCAGAGCACCTCTGTTAGCAAATCTCAGGCGAATTGAACAGGAAACCAAACGGGAGGGAAGACAGTGTGGGAGAATCATTTTTTAAAATGTAAAGAAGGGACTTGGCGGCCTGGCTAACTATTTTTCCAAAACTGCCACAACGACACAGTGTGCCTATAGCCCCATTTACTGACTTTTTATAATGATGATTCGTTACTGAATTGGTGCTGTGGGTCACCCAGAGCCTCCCAGTAAGGAGGTGGCAAAACAGTCACTAATAGGGGTTTTAGAGAGATGGGGAGCTAGCTAGTCGGCCTCCAGAGGACACTGAGTGCTAGCCTGTAGGTGGCGCCATCCCACTGCATCTGGCCCTCAGTGGATTCCAGGATCCAGCATTCTGCTTGCCCTGGAATGCCTTTATTTTCGGTGGAATGAAATGGTTTGAGAATTCTTGATGATAGTCTTTTAATCTCTTGATTTAGCTGGTTTAACCAAAAATGGTTTAACCATTTTTCTAGTTTATCATTCATGTACAACCCTAAAATTCCTGCCAGGAGATTTTAAAGGCTGCCTCTCTTGATTTTTATCCTCATAAGTATTACTATATCCTGAATCGAATCCTAGTCCTGCTTTATTTGCTTCCTCCCTTTTTAAGCTGCCCCTCTCTTTTCTTGTAGTTGAAGAAAACAATTTCTCTTTCAAAGTATCCACTTCCAGGCTTTCTTCGGCATCTCTGCTCTTCCCTCACTAACATTGAGTTATGTCTCCTAATTCTCTGATGCAGGTGGAAGATAGATTTAGGGAAACTAACCACAGCTCCCCTGAAGGCCAGTCTAAGCAGACAGGCAGAGTATTGGAGCCACCAGTGCCTTCCAGATCAGAGTCTTTTTCCAATGGCAACTCCGAGTCTGTGCGTCCCGCCCTGCAGAGACCAGCCGAGCCACAGGTAGCGACAGCCACTTGGCTGTGGGTCGAGGAGACGCACGTGACGGCTCGCCGAGCCACGGGCCTGCTTGTGGTGGTCGCGTCTCAGTGTGTCACCACATTTGGGAAGAGAAGGGGTTAGCAGGGCTGAGTCTAGACTGACTTAAAGAGTTGATTGGGGAAAGAGGATTTCTTTTAAAGATTTTCGTTGGACTTATGAAGATTATCTAGATTCAGTGATTTCTTATTTTAGTCTAACTTTTTGCCTTCGCTAATAAGTGCTTCCTTATTCTAATACCAAGATTTTTCGATTTAATTTTTAAAAAATTAGTATCATAAGTACCCAGAGGGAGAACCAGAACCTTTTCTTGACCTGTAACTCTTGGCTCCTGGACAATTCCATGAGTGGGCTTCAGATAGAAGTTTTTGGTTTTGTCCAAATGTGCATAGTTTTTGGGAGAAGGGCCTTTTTTTAAGAGATCCTTAAAAGATTCAAGATCCAAAAAGGTTATGACCCAGTGGGTTAGGTGTGGCTTTCCCTGAAGTAGGTTGGGATAAAGGTCACAGGCTCTCACTGTCCAAGCGAAGGAGAAACCCTCTCTACCATCTGGAGAAGAAGGCAGACCCAGAGATTACCACATCAGAGATCTCTGAGATCCTCAAAGCATGACTCCTACTCTCTCACCGAAGATAAATGACTCATAGACATTTTGCCCGCAGAGTATTAGGATTAAGTGTTTAGGCCTGAGTTTGTCACTGATGTTCTCATGTGTTAGGAGAAAGAAGTTCACATTTTGTGATAGAAGTAGTTGCATTGTTCTGAAAAACAAATTTGAATGAAGATTTGAATGTGCTTTACAGTAAATAATTCCAGTATGGAGGAGTTTAAAAAAAAAAACACAAAAAACCATGACGTCAGCAAAAGGTGTGTGAGCTCAGGGGTGGGGGGTTCGGGAAGTGGCGGGTATTTACATGAGATCAGTAGCTTCTTGATTCACAGAAGAGCTGACCATAAGCCACCTGGCAACTCCACAGAGTGAGGGATGGAAAAAAAAGAAGAAGCAGGACAGGACAAATAGGGAAAAGGGAGGGAGGAGAGACTGGTAGAATTAGTTTGATGATACTCTTACGAAGAGTTCAGTATGAAAAGTTTTTATTCTGGAAGTAAACTTACCATAAATAAAAAATCTTTATCTGTTTGGCCACTAATAGTTTAGAAAATAGGAGTACCTGAATTATATAGACTACTTTTTTATATTAATGATTAGCTATTGTAAGGCCTGGAAACAGTCTCCATTTTCCTCTTTCTATATAAAGTTCCTTTTGGCTAAAACATACACCTATGAAAACATTATTTGGGGGAACTTTTTTTCATGTAAGACTATTTTAAAACCCATTTTTAAAATTATAGTTACAGATAATACTTTCAATTCCGTGATTTTCCCTCTGAAAATTTTAAACATTTTAGGCATCTAGGATTATGCCAATAACTGGAATTATGTGACTGTCACCTAAAAATCATAGAAATCATAAATATGCAACTAATTCTGAATCTTGCTTTTGGAAAAGTCGAATCAACTGTGATTTGGTATTTCTAGTTTTCATTAAATGCATTCAATTAATAGATACATAGCTGGAATTACGTAGATTGCAATATTGAACATGTATTTTAAAATAATAAAAGAATTTAAAGACAATACAGATTATTTCAGAGACTGTTTTCATAATTTAAAAGCAACCAGATAAACTCAGTTGTTGAGTAATTGTCAAGTAGAAGATCAGTTTGGGGAATCATAGTAATGAATATTTATAAAGAAATCAAAGTTCTTTTTTTTTATAACTAGTAGGAAGATGTATAGCTATATCTAGGGTTTGAGTATTTTAAGACTTGGAGGAAGAAAGAAGGAAAATTGCTGGTATATTTTGAAAAGTTATGCTCTTATAGCCTGTCAGAACCTGAGGGGTTTGTCCTTGCTCATTAAATGTGTTGTTTTGCCATTACTTGGTCTGAAATCTTATACTGCCAGGCAACCTGCGGAAGGATAGACAGGTTTGCATGTATGGCAGCGCCCATCCTGTGACCCCGCTCCCTCTCTCTGCCCGTCCAGTCCCTGCTTTGACATGGATGTGCATGCAGCTCGTTGCCCCTCCTTTCAGGACAGGAGGCCTATAAGCCTTTTTTTTTTTTTTTTTAAATCTTCATGTTTATCTGTAATGTTTGTCCAGATAGTAAAAGAATTTTCCTTATAAGTGTACATTTATTCTTTTCTGCATATTTTGTTCCCCAGACCACTTCTTCACTGAAAAAATAACTGTTTGGCTGCCTGGTTTACCTCATACTAATACCGTAGCACCCTGGTTTGCATTCCCCCAGTTCCTGCTTTGGATTGGGTATTGACCAGAAAAGCGTTTTCTGCAGAACGCATTGAATGTTTTGTGTTTTGTTTTCTTGTAAGGTACAGTGGTCCCACCTGGCATCTCTCAAGAACAATGTTTCCCCTGTCTCGCGATCCCATTCCTTCAGTGACCCTTCTCCTCCCAAATTTGCACACCACCATCTTCGCTCTCAGGACCCATGCCCACCTCCCCGCAGTGAGGCGCTAAGTCAGACTTGTGAGTCGGAGGTACCTGACCCCACCCAAAAGGCGTGGTCTAGATCAGGCAGTGACGAGGTGCCTCCAAGGGTAAGAAGCAGAAAGACCAGACGTGCGCTTCTTTTTCCTTTTTGTTATTTTTAAAAAAAAATTATTTTTATTAAGGGTATGGTGACTTCACCAGAATTAAGGGGCAATGAAATTTCAAAGGAACTTTTTACAGTGGGGAGAAAGTCCCATAGTTACTCAGCTACACTCAGCCAGCATCCAGTCAGCTGTTTTTGTGGTTAATACTGTGCTTAAACACAAGGTAACACAGTGATTGAAGAGGAAGTCTATACAGAATATGCTTCTAGAGCAAACAGAATCATACATTAGCAGTTGTCTTATAAGTTTATGCAGAAGCTGCAAATTATTTTGCAACATTAACCAGCATCAAAATTTTTAGAAAAATTCTCACAAAAAAATTTAAAATGTCAAAGAGAATGATTTTTTTTTTTTTTTTTAATTGAGAGATTTGGGTTGTTTTTTTTTTTTTTTGAGTTTTTAGGTTTTTTTGTTTCGTTTTGTTTTTGTAATTACTTAATGACAAAATTAAACAAAAAAGGCATATTTTAGTTTATTATTCCTCCACTTGGAATTTGCTTCCTCTGAAAAATTTCTTGCTTCTACCAGTCTTTGTTTCCTACTGATCCATTTGTAGATGTTTGGTTTCTTTGAGCTTATTTTCCCTATTCTTACATTATCTCAGCAAAATGCTTTGTATGTCCCCTGCCACCAAACTTTAGTCCAAACATCATTTACATGTTACAGAAGCATAGAAGGGCTGCTTGTCCTGGCTCCTTTGAAGGCTTTGACTGAATTTTCTCTCTCCACTGTTTTATAGTGGAGAGCAGAGAAGGGTCAGGGGTGTGGGTGGAGGGTCAGTCGGTGATAGTAAGGCTGATGAAATTGGGACTGCTGTAAAAATATGTTTGGGTAGGGAAATCTTTTCTCTGCTCATATTTTCAAGAATTTAATTGCCGTCTTTTCCACCCGAAGGTTCCTGTGAGAACAACGTCTCGCTCCCCCGTTCTGTCCCGTCGGGACTCCCCGCTACAGGGTGGTGGGCAGCAGAACAGCCAAGCAGGTCAAAGAAACTCCACCAGGTAACACGAGAGGGAAGCTGGAGGTTTCCTCACAGTGTCCTGCGGTGTGTGTCATCTCTTTTCATAAAAATGCCTGTAGACAGGGGCATTCTGAAGCAAAGAGATAATCAGTTTATAAAAGAGATAATCAGTTTATAAAAGACTTCTCAACCATTAATGTGAATATCATTAAACTGATCTGTCATGAAGAATGTAAGTCCAGCTATGTCCTGTGGCAGCTTTAATGTGAAAGCTAGCACCTGTCTCTGTCCCAGTCAGTGGAAGGAACTGGCCCAGGGGGTGGTGGTTCTAGAGGATTGTAACCTGAGGGACCTTGCTGTCTACATGGTATCTTAAGGCCTTGGGAGTGGTACAGAGTCACAGACAGGCTGCTGAAGATAGCTAGTGCCTGACGGACAGCCAGAAGTTAGCCTTCAGTACACGGAACCTCAGTATAACTCGAAACCTCCCCAAAGTGGTCAGGGCGGACAGTGGGATTGGCCTGTGCCTGAGTCTTTGCTTACTTCTCACCTAAGCAAACGTGTGCCCTGGGCGTGTGCCTGGCAGGGACACAATGAGAGCCCGTGCCATCTGTCCCATTTCCAGCACAGTGCATACAGAGAAGTGTACTGCACAAGTATCAGTTCAGGAGAGCAGTAATGGGTGGCTGGGAGCTACAGCCTGGAAACAGTATAATTTTGTGATTATATAAAAGTGGAATTTTTTATAAAAAGAGACTGTGTTTGTAGTCGTGACGGAAATAGTAATACTTCTAGACCAAACAGTAGCATTTCCTCTCATACCTGAAGATTTCGGGTCTGCTAACAGTAGACTAGCATTTAGCATTTTTGGTTTGTTAATATATCTGAGATAAAACCCATGAATAATAATGTTGTTAGAACTTTCGGTACGTTTAATGTTAAATGCTGTTTGTCGGCTCTTTTTCTCATCATGCCTGCACTTCTGCACGTGCCTGTGATTTGTTTGGATGATGCATTAGCTCTTCTCTGCTTTCCCCACAGCGGTATCGAGCCCAGGCTGCTATGGGAGAGAGTGGAGAAGCTGGTGCCCAGGCCTGGCAGTGGCAGCTCCTCGGGGTCCAGCAACTCAGGGTCGCAGCCTGGCTCCCACCCTGGGTCTCAGAGTGGCTCTGGAGAGCGCTTCCGAGTGAGATGTAGGATACCTTTCCTGTCGCCTTTTCCTGTAAACGATACTGGGCTACGATAGTGTATTGGAGATCCTTTTTAGTCCTTTTCAATCTTATAAACAGACCTGGGGTTTTTACCCAGCTACATATCACAAAACAATATTTTAATACGGGTTGCTAATGACACTAATACCATAATTTTAATAATAAAGAGTCAACTTTTGAGAGCTTACTCACACCTACCTCTGTGAGTACTTTATGTGCTTTATCTCATTTAATCCTTACAGTAACCCCATGAGATATATTTATTGTGTCTCCATTTTACAGATTCCAGTCACTGAAATTTAGTGGCTTTCTAAATGACCAAGCTGAGATTTGAACCCACTTCTTTCAGTATAGACTCCATTACTGTTGTCATCAGTACTGGTTATTTGAACCTACCCATAATAATAGATTAGTGAAAAGTCCCTCTACAGTATTATTGACATAAGAGAGTATAGAGTGTGGGGGTGGAGGGGTCTAAGTATGGAGTCAGAAGCCTTGGGGTGCAGACCCACGTGGAATCCCTGCTATGAGTGAGGGGCGCCCATTGGTGGGCAAGGGGCAAGGGGAGAAATTAGACAGGCTAGGTCTGCTTTGTAGCACGCACCTGGATGCTCACACGTGTCTGCCTTTCTTGTCTCTGAACTTCACAGCATCATCCAAATCTGAAGGCTCTCCATCTCAGCGCCTTGAAAATGCAGTGAAAAAAACAGAAGATAAAAAAGAAGTGTTTAGACCTCTCAAGCCTGCTGTAAGAATTGCACAAAATCAGTTTTACTTATTTCAAGCTTGAGTGAGATCTTTCTATTAAAAATACGTAGTTGGGAGGAACAGTCCTTTCCGTGCAGCCCCCCTCACAGATTTGGGGAATTATAAGGAATGCAGTAAACCTCAGACACATTCGTGCCCCGCCCACCTTGGTCATTAAAAAAAATACAGAAAGAGTAATAGCCATTTTATCTCTTTGCTTAGCATTAACTATTACGCATTCTTGATGTATTAGGCATTTGTAATACTGGCTTTTAGAATACCTTTTTTTTTTATATTCTTAAATTTACCTGTTATTTAAATTCTGCCTTCTGGTACCTGGAGTGGCAATTGTGACTGTTCCTCATACTTCTTTAGTCCTTGCTGCATTAACTGACCATGTAACTGCACACACTGTGGAATTTTAACACCTGCTGGAATTTTGATTTCCTGCTTGAATTGATTTCTGTACTTCCCTCTGCCCCCTCATTTCTGCCGTGCTTCCTTGTGTTGTGCATTCATCACTGATGGCTTCTCCGGCTCAACGGAACTGTTGCTGGACTGCAGGGTGAAGTGGTAAGCCTTGTCTCTGGAAAATTCAGCATCAGAGCAATAATCTGACTGCATTTTAAACCGAGCTTGTATTCAATCTATATTACTTCTCTTTCCTCAACTTGCCTTTCTGTTCTTTTCTAGAATGGAAAACCTTAAACTTTTGCTTTGTTTTTTTAACACACAAAATTTGCTGCATGCATTTTTTTATTATTAAATATAGCTTTTTAGAATAACTTCTTAAAAAGCTAGAGCTGTAGCCGTAAAATGGTTAGTAAGACTCAAGGTCCAGTACTTGATCACTGCTATTTCATGGGCTCAAGCTCAAGAAAAACATGTTCTTTACCGTGGAGAAGAAGAAAACTGTTGGGACTGCTAAAAAGAAAAAGGAAAAATGGCATAGCCTACTTTGTAAAAAGTCATTATTTTTAAATAAAATTCCCAAGGAGAAAGATATACTTTAGACTTCTATATGCAAATGTAGAATATAAATAATAATCACACTTGGAAATTATATTTGGATAATTGAGTCTTAAAATATCTCAGTATAGAAGAGTAAAGAGAAATGAAGCCCTTTTTGAATATCTTTTACTGTGGGTTTCTTTGTTCTCTGATGCTCATAGTCATTGGCATTATTATGGGGCCATGGGGCCATGTGGGTAAGGTGGGGCCCAGGGAGTCTCCCCCTCCCCTGCCCCCCCCCCCACCTCTTGTCCACATCAGTGCGCACTGCTACCACTTTCTCATTTAACATGTCGTGAACCTTTTTTTACAAATGTGGCAAATTGTTAACAATTGGTGAAGCAAGATATGAATGGCTTCCTCATTTCACTGTCACATTTCTGTAGGTTCAAAATTTTTAAAAATAAAAGTAGAAGTTAAATATAAAACCACCACATACATACTTTAAATCAGCCTTTTTTAACTAGAATCCTGCTTTATGGACAGTCTCCTTAAGAGAAGACTTTGTCTCAGAGGCAGATATCTTTATAACAAACTCCAAGGATCTGTCTACACTCATTTGTTGACCGAGAATTTTATCTTATGGTTTAGAAAAAATCCTATCAGCTTATAAGCAGACTATTATGTTTTTTTATTGTCGTGACATTTGAATTGTATACCACATCTTTTTGTCTTTTCTGGTTTTTGTCTATCTTTTGACTTTTTTGGTCTTTTCTATCAAAAGCTTTAAGACTGCACCTTCATATGATACTAGTAAATACTCTCCAAAACAGGTTTACAGAACTGATGTTGTGGCTGTTTTATCGATAGTTAAAATGAAGAACTTCACATTCTTGGCTGCTTTTTCCCCGCTCCCTCCTACCCCCTTTGCCTTACTCTCTTTTCTGTCCTGTGTGTTAGGATTTGACTGCGCTGGCCAAAGAGCTTCGGGCAGTGGAAGATGTGCGACCACCGCACAAAGTGACAGACTACTCCTCATCCAGTGAGGAGTCGGGGACGACAGACGAGGAAGACGATGACGCAGAACAAGAGGGGCCCGAGGAACCCACGTCTGGACCAGAGGACGCCAGAGCAGCGTCAGTCCTTGGTGTATTTTAGAGAGGATGAGAATGTCCCCGCTGAGCCTTCTTTCTACTTGGAACCAATTTTTTCTAAACCTGTCATAGGAGTCTGTTAACATGTAATGAGCAGTTGTCATGGATTCAGCAGCAGGCAGCCTTTATGTTTCCCCTTTGGTCCATTGGTGTGCGTGTGCATGTCAGCGCCTCTCCCTAATGCTCGAATGTGTATTTTATTTTTTGTTTTTTAATTTGAGAATACGATAAATGGGAAACTTCAGTTTAACTGCTTTAATTAACCATAAGTTATTCATTCTAATTTTTTTGCTCAAAAACGAACTGTAGTGGCAGGAAATTCTTTGTTGAAGGGAAAACACTAAGCATTGGTTTTCCTTGAGGAAACTTTCTACCTGTAACTGATCTCATCTAATGACTTTGAGGAGGTGAAATCAAAACAATATCCTCGACTAACGGGATTCATGGCCCTTCACCTCTGGATTTTGTCTCAATAGGTCATCTCTGAATTTGAGCAATGGTGAGACAGAATCCGTGAAAACCATGATTGTCCATGATGATGTGGAGAGTGAACCAGCCATGACCCCATCCAAGGAGGGCACCCTGATCGTCCGCCAGGTACCCGTGTGTTCGCTTCGTTGTTAGAGGCTGAGCTTCTGTCGTCATTAACCCACGTGCTCATTCACTCACTCATGCTGTTTCTACATCATCATCTGTTTCCATGGTAACGAGACCCAAGGGTCGTGTCGGGGCTGGGGCGGCAGGACGCGCTGCATGCCAACACGGTAGCTGGCAGTCTCCACCGCACATCGCTGCCCCCTGCATGTTTTGTGGCGGCCCTCACCCAGCACCGTGCTGCGTCTCCGTCTGTGTCTTGACAGTGGAAAAACCGCAGGGCAGCGTCCTTCAGCAGGCTTGGGCCGGGGGCAGGCCGGTCTGTAGCAGGGCAGCCTCGGGGGTCCTGCAGAGCGCACTTAGCTCGGCGGTCTGCGCAGTCAGGCGGTCACTGGGCGGGCCTTGGGCAGCCGCAGGGCTGGGAGGGCTCTCTGCTGTGTTCCCAAATGTTAGTTTTCTTGCTCGTTGATTCTTAAATGTGTCCCACCCAGTTGTGCTCAGTTTGGATGACTAAGTTTTACAACTGTCTGTTCATTTCTCAGCTTGGCTGTGAGGAAAGTGATCTGCTTCTTATTTAAACAGAGCAGGGCACCTGTCTAGCATTCCGGACTTCTCCCTGAGTGTGTCGCATGCTGTGCCAGTGCATTCGGGTGGAAAGTGGGAAGAATATGGAAAAGACCAGGATTCAGAAAAGTGATGGGATGCTTTCTAGAACTTTAGACAGAGAGATTTAAAAAGGGAAGAAAAACTGCTAGTGGTTTTGGTAACAGTGGCTAGTGTGGCAGATAAACCAAATTGAACACCTTCTGCTTGAGTCCTGTGGCCACCAGAGGAGATACTTTGAATTCTGTTGGCTCCACTTAGGCATTCAGCAAGGAAGTGTGAGCAATTCAGGCCAATTTCCTCCAGTCTTTCCTCGATAATTGAACTGTTTGAAAAGTCACACAGCACCTAAGCAAAGTCAGCTATCAGCAGGGTCATAGGCGATTCCAGCAGCACCCGAGCAAGACAAGTGTGCCTGTTTTTTCTGCAGAGTACAGTTGACCAAAAGCGTGCCAGCCATCACGAGAGCAATGGCTTTGCCGGTCGTATTCACCTCTTGCCAGATCTCTTACAGCAAAGCCATTCCTCCTCCACCTCTTCCACTTCCTCCTCCCCATCTTCCAGCCAGCCGACACCCACCATGTCCCCACAGGCACCCCAGGACAAGCTCACTACTAATGAGGTATGTCTTGCACCACAGCTGGCTGCTTTCCAAGGGTTAGACCAGCACCGCCTAGTCGCTTGTTCGCGGAGGAGACTTGCCCAGTGCCCCGCCTTTCCCTGCCTGCCCGCTTTCTTCTGTCACCCACCCTTCTCCCCACCCCCAAGTAACATGTTTCAGACCCGCGTACAAATCCCTTAACCTAGATCAATTTCCCGTCAAACTTGCCAGTTCACTATTTCCTGTTCTCTAGATCAGTGTAGCTGCATGGCTTTGTGTATTTTTTTTTTAAGTCTAAATAAAATGATTGCTGTGTTCTCAGATCCATTATGTATTTGACATTAAACTCTTGCAGTTGTTTGTGCAACCTGCCTTTTTCATTCTTTTTATCCAATAAATAGAATATAGAAAAATTTGGTTAAGCAGACTTGGCCTTATATGGACAGACCTGTTATCTCAAACAGGAATTTCCTTCAAACAGGGCTGGATTGTATTCTGTATTTTTTGGGGGGTGGGCCGGGGGGAGTTGGGTTGCAGGTTGGTTACTCTAATTCGTTTTCACCAACCCTGTTGAAAAGAATTTCTTTCCTTGAAATTCACAGTCACGCATGGTTTAAGAAGAGGCCAAATGCTTTTTGGGGAAACCTAGAAAAGTAGGATGTTGAGCAAGAAAAGCAGAGGTCCAGGCATGCTTTCAATTTAAAATTTGAGAGGGAGATCCTGTGTGCTCATTCGAAGGCTTTGGCTGTGGTGCTCCGTCTGGGTGCTAGTTGGGTGACTCTTTGCTCTTTGGAAG